ATCTCCCCGCGTCCGAGGAAAACGCAGGCGAGCAGCAGCTAGGAAAGGGGGCGCTGACCGAGATCCCGGGGTGCCGCTGCCGCGTCCGCGCCACGTGCGACGGCCGGGGTGGAGGAGTGGCCGCGGACGCAGCTTCCATCGGGAGCAGGAGGCCAGCGGGGCAATGTCCCCTCGCAGCCCTCGCTTCTCAGGTTTCCGCAGGGCGGGTGGCTCCGTGTCCCCCGCAGCCGCAGCCGGTGCGTTGGGCGCTCGCCCGCGGGCTGCGCGCGGTCACTGCCCCCTGGGACTTCGCCTCGCCCGGGGATGCGGGGCGCGGGGAGCTCCCGCATCATTCTCCAGTCACCTGTGGCCCGCCCCCCTCCTCTGGGCACAGATCCTGCTCGGGGCCTTCATTTCACTCCTGGTGGTTCCAGATGGTGGGATTAATTGACTAAACAAGGGTCCGAGTTCGCAAAAACGGTCTGACTTCCTGCCCAGACTTGGTAAGGACACTTGCAATAAAATGACTCTATCTGTGAATTCTTATTTTTTGCTCAGACGCTAACTTTATACTGGGCTTCGTCCTGTTTATCTTCTAGTCATCAAGTGGCATCTTTTGTATCGTGTATCGGAAACTCCTATGAGAGACAATATAGCCTGATGGGTAAGAGTCCTGGGCTGTGTAACTGGTTTCAAACCCCAGCCTAGCTGTGTGACCTTAGGCAAGTTACTTAACCTCTATGTGCCTTAGTTTTATCATCAGCGAACTGGGGATAATAAAAGTACCTACCTCATAGGGTAGCTGCCAGAATTCACTAAATTAATATCGTAGAACTCTGGCGCATACCAAACAAAAGCTATTATTACTATTATTATATTGATGCTACATTAGCCAAGTAAACTTCAAAATATAAAAAGATAAGGGGAAAAATGCATATTTTGTGTGTTAGAAAGAGTATATATAATGAAATACATGTCCATCATGAAAAATTTAAAAAACAGTAAATATTTTCTATGTCAGTATCTAAATTTAAATACAATGTGTTTCTACATCTTCTGGACCCATCTTTTAAATAATTATGAAATATTTACATACAAGCTTTGAACATCATTTTAAGAAAATTGTCTCTAACCTTCAACATATTTCACTTTGTAAAACAGATATGCATAAAAAATACAAAAATCCAAGGTCTGCATTAAAATATTGTCCTGAGTCCATTTTATTTAAGAAAATGTGGAAACTTACCTTAGGGGCTAGAAATGCTGATGTCTCTGGGGGCTGAAGTAGCATTAGAATTAGGTCTTCTGAGTCACTCCCCGGGGCTCTTCAACCCCACACTGATGATTTCCTACAGATTTATGAACTGTTCGCAAACAGGAAACCAGAGGTATTATATAAGGAAAAACATACAAACATGTTATCTCCAACACAAGTAAGACCAGGCAGTGCTGTGGCTGCTGTTGTCCCTCAGCTTCATCATGGTCCCTCACAGCAGAAGGTATGACCACATGACTTGCCTAAGGTAAGATAAGGTCACAGATAAAGCAAGAAGCAGAGCCAGCACTAGAATTTAAGGTCTCACTAGAGTATACATTTGGTTGCATATCCTATTAATCCCTTGTAGCAGTTTTACATTAAAAATCATTTTTAAATTTTAAAAATCTCCTGCTGGCTTTGAAGGCCTTTCCTGTAAAAAGAGCTTTTGGGTAAAGGCGTTCAAAATTACACAGACAGAGATTTTATTATTCCAGATTTTGTGGACAAGCAAGAATGAAAGTGAAAAAAACTTTCTTATTTTAGAACAATAACCTGGTTCCTGGTTTCATTTGAGACCCTTGAATAGCAGTTTCTGTAATCCTAGTGTTCTTTCATTTCTGCATGTGGCAATGACATTCACCTGACGCAAACAGAGGAGCTGGTGGGGCTTAAAGGTCCAGCCCTCATGTGAGCAGTTTAGGAATTACAAGGCAGAGCCTTTCATGTGAGCACCTGGCCTTGCAAAGTTATTAATAAGAATGGTATCTTCCAGAAATAACCTTTCTAGGAACTGTGCCTGCATCCTTGAAGAAGGAAAACTTGGTTTTCTTTAGTGCGTGAACTGTGTATCTGATCCTTGACCCTGCATCTCTGTATACCTACCACATGTTCTTAGACAGAAATACAGGGCATTAAGCAGGGAGTGACTTTCTAGCATGCTCCCAAGCTGGTTCAGCAGAACTGAGTTTTGAAATCGTATGTGTTAAGTCAGGCCCCAAAATGACTGTAATGTGAATCACTGTCCAATTGGGAATATTGTGGATTGGTTTTCAGTGCACTATCAGGTGACTTACAATGTGAGCTGCTATTCAGATACATATAGTGTCAGTCAGCAACGAATAGGGTTCACTCTGAGTCAGAGCTTAACATTTAGTACAATAAGTGTGAGTCACTGACTACCCGGCAGCATCTGTGATGGTTCCTGAATGTTACCTTGAGCAGCTCAAGAGTTTAGACAACACTGCATGGGGTGAGTCAGTTCATAGTATGATTGAGTGGGCTTTTGCAACAGCCATTTACAATAAAGTTGGATGTGACTGAGTGCTCAAGATAATATTACATGATTATGCTTGCACAGGACAAATTACTTTGATTCTAATCCAGTTGATTAGATTCTAGCTATTTGCATGGGAAATCATTTGTGAAATATGAGTAATATGCTTTATTGCCCAGCTGTAATATTGTACTTGAGTTATTTCAGTGATTATTAAAGCGAGCTAAACTTTCTGGTTTTGGAGTGCTCAATTGCTACTTATTATTTAATTTTACTCTAAATTGTAAAATAATTTTTAGGTACGTTAGTATTTTAATGTTAGACAACAGCATCTTATGCAGCGTTACCCAGCAGTTCGACTTCGTGAGGTCCTGGGTTGGACAGAGTGCACTTAGCACAGCAGGGAGGCGGAGGGGAGCACCTTGTCCTCTGGGTTGTCTCCATTTGTGCCTCTGTCACCTCTGACAGTAAGTGAACAGTATTTGCTCAAGAGCTAGAACACAAGTTTGTGGTGCTGTTCTAAGCCTACACCACCCAGCACTTATAACGCTTCTGGGGCCGTATGGCTAAATCAACGCAGGCTTATATGGTTGTTCCATTTATGCAAGACAGTGGAAAGGATGGTGCAGCCTGGGCCTCACCCCACCCATGTAAGACGTTTATGTCTCAAGGCGGAGTGATAATGAGGTTTAAGGGATGATATTTCTTAATTTGTTGATAATGGTAAGAGGTTATTATCCTTGGAACCAAGAATTGACTACTGTTTAAAAGTACATGTATATTTTTCTCTATCTTCTGCTGGTCCTAAGAGAATCTCTGATGTGTGGACTTTACCATATGCCTTTATTGTGTTTCTGTAAATATCCATTTCTAGTGATAACCAGATACCAATTCATACATCTTCTGCTATGTGTAAAGAAATAGATATTTCTTTGCATTTAATGGGGGCCATACATAAAGAGTTCTGTTCTTCCTGACTTAATGTAATTCCTGGCAAATTCAGATCATCAGGACTGTTTAATAAATTAGACTACTCATAAAAGTGAAAGGAAGATTCTACATAAATTTGCTGAATTTCAGTGAGGAGCTGTAGGTATTTTTGTGACATTCTGGATTGCTTTTAACTTTGTTTATTTGAGCCATTTTATGTATTCCTTAGAATGGAAGCTTTATTCCCAGATCTCTGTATCTAACTGCCTTATGTTGTCTCACAAAGAAGGAGAGGGAGGGAGAGAGAGAGAGAAAGGAGAGAGAGAGAGAAATTATCAAATGGCTACAGTCCCCTGTAGATAGTCCAAAATGTCAATTCTTTGAATTTTTTTTTATTTTAGATGTTTGTTCAACATATCTAGCTATTTAATTTTTCATGCCAATGGGGATGGGGTCTTAAAATTTAGTAGAAATTTTGTCACAAATTGTAGGAAACCAAACCCTTGAGGAACCAAGATTCTCTCACACACACCCTAAAAATAAGCAGACAAAAACATTCATCAGCTCAGCCCCTCGAGGACTGTCTTGGGAACACTAAGGCGATGTGGAACCAAGGTGATGCTCTGAAGTTTTTGTCAGTCCATTTTAATTAGCAGCAGCCCTGCTGGGAAAAGGACTCCAGAGACATTCTCCCTGATGGACATCCAAAAATAACCCAAACCTGTCTAATCATGGCCTGTGCACAGCTGTGGTGTTAAGAGCAAGAGTGGGGGAAGGATCGCAAATTGGAGCCAATAATGTAGATTCAGGTCTGTTGGGGGCAGACTTTGAGACCTTGGGCACATCACACAACCTCTCTGAGTATGAGTTTCCCTGTAGATAAAATAGGATCTTGAAATCTGCTCCACAAAATAATTTCACAAGTTAAATGTGAGAAAGGTGTGAGTATTGATTGCTGCATTTGCTCATGTAGACAAAGGGGAAACTGCACATTAGTTGAAAAACTGTTAGCAGAGGAAGCAAGCTCTGATAAAAAGTAAATTTTGTTCTGGTGTCATGGATTGCCATTGAAGGCCACAGTGGACTAACAGAATCTGGGTTCTATTTTAAGTCACTAAATGTTTTAGTTTGTGGGCCACATGGTCTCTACTGCAACGGCTCAACTTTGCCACTGTAGCGGAAAATCTTTGGGGGTAGCGTAGAAGGGGATGGATTGCTGGGCTCATTGTAGCAATCCAGGCAAAGTGCCAAACTGAGCCGGAGGGGCAGTGGAGTTGCAGAGAAGTGAGCAGACACAATAACATCCATTCTGGAGATCTGGCAAGCTTGCTAATGAGCAAGATGCAGAGAGAGGAGTCACAGTGACTCCTAGGATGTGGGTGCCATGTATGGGCTTGGAGAAGACTGGAGAAGAAACAGAGGGGGCAGGAGAGGAGACTCTAGAGTCTATTTTAGACCCTACAGTCTGAGATGTCCACGAGAGCTCCAATTGTGGCGGCAAGTAGGCAATTGGATTGATGTGCTTTGAAATGAAGGGTTTGGCCTGGGCTAGAGGCAGAAATGTGAATTTGTTATACTACTTATTTATGATATGTAGCTTGCTACATTGTGGTATACTAAATATTCATGAGGTATGGTAGGAAATTCTTTAGTGTAGCCAATGAGGTATTACAACTCTAGAATCTGTACTTCCTTTACTAAAATTGTAAATAATCTACTGAAATTTTTGTATATTTATTACAGATGTCAGCAAACTAAGGCACATAGGCCAAATCCAGACCACTGCCTGTTTTTATATGGTCTAAGCACTAAGAATAGCTTTTACATTTTTAAACATTTCTATTTATTTATTTTATATATAGAGAGAGGAATTTATTTTGAGGAATTGGCTCACACAATTATGGAAACTTGGCAAGTCCAAAATCTTGATGAGGTAGGCTGGGGATTCAGGGAAGAGCTGCAGTTTACATCCAAAGGCAGTCTGCTGGCAGGATTCATTCTTGCCTGGAGGGAGGGGGCTCAGTAACCCAGGAACAGCCAAATGGAAGAGATACATAGGGCAAGGTACAGGAGAGGGGCCTGGAGCTTCCAGGCGATCTCTGGGTGCTTCCTCCTCCCAGCAGCTTGATGTGTTCACCAACACAGAAACTCAATTTGAATATTTTTAAATTGTTGGGGGGCAATTTTTAAAAAGAATAGTGTT